GTGTTTATTCTTCCATCAGAGCTGGTTCCCCTAACCGCTCCCTGTCTCTCACGGTTCTCCATCCTGTTCAGCTCTTCTAGTTTTCCTTGTGCTGTGCTCATTCACATGTTTCTGCCTTTGATGATTCCATTCCGGCTAGTGAGAATTTCCTAGCCTCTTCTCTCTCTCTCACATGAGAGCCAGAGTACCTTCTTTGTAAAATTTATTCAGGTGATTAAAGACAACATTATATCCCCAGATATGTCAAAAGAAGGCATATTTACTACATCTTAGAGCATTGGGGGGAAAAATATATTCTCTAAATCATGGGTCGGTAAACTGTGGCTCACGGGCTAAATCAAGCCCTATACCTATTTTGTGAAATATTTATTGGAACACAACCAGGTGCTCTTGTTTATGTATTATATTATCTTGCTGTTATGCATTGTCTTATCTTGCTACATTATGGCCTGTGAAGCCTAAAATATTTACTGTCTGGCCCATCACAGAAAAAATTTGCCAACCCTTACTCTAAGTGAACACTTGTTAAACCAGAGTACACCAGGATTTTTGCCCAGGCGTCATCTGATCTTTCTATATTAGGCCATGCTTGTTCAAACAAGAATTAAGCACAGATTTTCTGAAGCCTAAATTGTTTATATGTTTATAACCAGAGGCAAGAGATAAGCAGTGAATGTTTTATTAAGTCTACTTTAATTTTTTTTTTTTTTACATAAGCATAGTATTTTTATTTGTAGCACTTGAAACTTAGAGATGAGGCATCAGGTAGTTAATAAATTCTTTTCACACTCCCTTATTTTCTGAAATCTTTAATGTCAGAGAACTTGATGCCAGCCTTTTCCTCTGACTAGAACTGGAATCTTCCTTGTTTCCCCAAAGTTTATAAATGGTGGCAGTTTCCCAAAACTTCACTTTGTAGGAAGATTTAAAAGATGCTTCATTTATATTATCTGCCACCTCTTACCCCCAAAATATTCTTTTTGTTTGTTTAAGAAAAACATTATGCCCATTCCTTCTACTTAGGTCACAGTTTTAATTAATATTTAGAAAATTTGAAGTAAGGTGTTAAAACTCATTTCAAACTCTGCCTGATCACTTACTAGAAACAGAGGTTGAAATGCAATAGGTGGTGAGTAGGAAGAATGACTTTGTCTTCATCTTGTGCCTCCAAACCCTCCCCTTTGCATAAGATCTCATCTAGAGCTGTATACCTTTTCCTCCGCCAGAGTTTCAGTGACTGCTCCTCCACAAATTCCAACAGGTGTTCTCAAGGGGACAATTGAAAAAAGAAAGGAGAGTTGGAAACAGTTAAGGGGGCGAAAGCTTATTCTGGAATACATGTAGAAACATTTGCAATTAAGGTTTGGGAGTGGCAAAGGAAGCTAAGGAATAATAATAACAATAGTCTCAATGCTATTAAATGCTCCCTAAATCTGAGAGCCAGCACTGTAGCCTTGATATAAAGGTGATTGTAGAGCTAAGGCTCTACTGGTAATGTATTAGAGAAAGGAAAGCATTTTAAGAAATACCCTTCAGACTAGGTTAAATGAACAAATTTAACCCAAGAATCAGGTAGTATCTGTAGTACCAAACTACAAACACCTTTTTCCTTTGGCTCTGGAACTCTGTCCTACAGATAAAACTGTTCATGTCCTGTAGATATGACTGTTCATGTATGAAATCACATGTCCCAATTTATTTGGTACAGCTGTGGTTATGGTAAAACGTTACCACCACCCAAGTATCCAGCAGTAAAGGACTGGATTGTAAAATCAGAAAGGCATTGAAAGTTCAACCAGATGAAAGCATGGCCTTGACATGTGTATTATCTATAAAATAATATTGAAAATGCAGGAAAAGGAGACCTTAAAAGTTGGTATCAAGGGATGGTAAAAGGGAAATAATTGTACATTACCAGATCTACATTATAAAGTAACAGATTTTTAAAAATTATTTTATTAAAACTGTTTAGGGGCTTGTATATATTGCCTTGTTTTGATTCCCATACCCATTTGATACCTGCTCCCTATTGAATGGGACATACTATTAAGGTGCTCAGACATGGTCAAGTGAGAACTACTTTAACTGACCCTGAAGAGTTTATTCCTTCATCTCTGAGATAAGGGCAAGATGATTAGGACAAAAGTTATTTAGTGCATTTCTTAAAAAATTTGTTTCTATGGAGAAGTAGCAATTTAAATTCTATTTAACATTTATATCCCACTTTTTTAAAAATTGAAGAATAGTTGATTTACAGTGTTGTATTTCCGCTGTACAACGAAGTAATTCAGTTATACAAATACATATACTCTTTTTCACATTCTCTTCCATTATGGTTTGTTACAGGATTCTGTATATAGTTCCCTGTGCTGTAAAGTAGACCATGTTGATTATTTTATATACAGGCTCCTAATTTACCCCTCCCCCATCCCCTCCCCACTTCGGTAATCATAGGTTTGTTTTCTATGTGAGTCTGTTTCCATTTTATAAATGAGTTCATTTTTTTTATATTTTAGATTGCACATATAATTGATATCATACAGTATTTGACTTTCTAGTGTATTTCACTTCGTATGATAATCTCTAGGTCAGCCTATGTTGCTGCACATGGCTTGGCTTTATTTTTTTATGGCTGAGTAATATTTGTGTGTGTGTGTACCACATCTTTGTTTCTTTCATGTCTTAGCTATTGCAGATAGTGCTGTTGTGAACATAGGGGTGCATTTATCCTTTTGAACCATGGTTTTCTCCAGATATCTGCCCAGGAGTGGGATTGCTAAATCATACAGTAGCTCTGTTTTTAGCTTCTAAAAGAATCTCCATACTCTCACCAACAGTGTACAACCGTTCCCTTTTCTGTGCATCCTCTCTAGCATTTGTTACTTGTAGACTTTTTAATGATGTGGCCATTCTGACCTTTGTGAGGTGATACCTCATTGTAGTTTTTATTTATTTTTTGAATTGTATGAGGTGTTTGGATATTTTGGAAATTAAGCCCTTGTCAGTTGCATCATTTGCAAATATTTTCTCCCATTCTTCAGGATGTCTTTTTACTTTGTTTATAGTTTCCTTTGCTGTGCACAAGCTTAAGAGTTTGATTAGGTCCCATTTGTTTATTTTTACTTTTATTTCTTTTGCCTTGGGAGACTGACCGAAGAAAACATTGCTATGATTTATGTCAGAGTGTTTTGCCTATGATCTCTTCTAGGAATTTTATGGTGTCATGTTTTATATTTAAGTCATTAAGCCATTTTGAGTTTGTGTGTGGTACTGAGGTGAGTATTCTAAGTTTACTGATTTATATGTGGCTGTAAATCAAGTGTGTGGGTTTATTTCTGGACTCTGTATTCTGTTCCATTGATCTGTATGTCTCTTTTTGTACCAGTACCGTGCTATTTTGATTACTGTAGCTGTGTAGTATTGTCTGAAGTCTGGGAGGGTTATGCCTCCAGCTTTGTTCTTTTTTCTCAAGATTGCTTTGGCAGTTCTGGTCTTTAATGGTTACATATACATTTTAGGATTCCTTGTTCTAGTTCTGTAAAAAATCTCAAAGGTAACTTGATAGGGATTGCTTTAAATCTGTAGATTGCTTTGAACAGTATAGAGATTTTAATAATTCTTTGCACCCAGGAGCATGGGATGTCTTTCTGTCTCTTTAAATCATTTTCAGATTCCTTCATCAGTGTTTTATAGTTCTCACCATATGAGTCTTTCACATCTTTGGCCAGGTTTATTCATAAGTATTTTATTACTTTGATGCAATTTTAAAAAGGATTTTTTTTTTACTCCCTTTTTTGATATTTCATTATTAGTGTGAAGAACTGCAACAGATTTCTGTATGTTAAATTTGTATCCTGCTATATTGTTGATTATTTATCAGTTCTAGAAGTTTTTATATGAAATCTTTAGGGTTTTCTACATATAATGTGTCATCTGCATATAATTGCCATTTTACTTCTTTCCTTTTATTTTGAATCCCTTTATTTTTCTTGTTTGATTGCTGTGGCTAGGACTATGTTGACTAGAAGAGCTGAGAGTGGACATCCTAGTCTTGTGTCAGATTTTAGTGGGAAAGCTTTTAGCTTTTCACCATTGAGTTTTATGTTGGCTGAGAGTTTGTCATAAATAGCTTTTGTCATGTTGAGATATGTTTCCTTTATACCTACTCCTCAAAAAGGAATCAAGATGGTATAAAGGGAAGCTTGGGAAACTTTTGCTCTCTGATGAGGTTTGTCTGAGTGAACACAATTATAGGCAGATGCTTGGACCAGATATATGAATAGAGGAAAATAATTAGAGCCTATATTCTAGTTTCATGTTGGTTAAGTGTAGAATTTCATAATGGTTAAAATATGTGGAGTAAAGCTTTGTGAAGAGTCCAAGATAACATTGAATTTTGTGCTTATTTTTGGTAAGTTGTAATGTGGCTTACTTTAAAAGAAATTCATCATGATAGAGAGTGAGTTTTATAGGAAAAAGAAACCTGCCTTTTGGATATTTCCTTTAATAAAAGTTAAAATTCTAAACATTCAGAAGTTATTATCGATCTGTCCCTAGGTCATTGATATAACGTGCTTCCTAAAGTAACAAATTTCAAATGAATTCTTATGTAATTGTTATCATATCTCTCGATTTAATTTTTAGATATTTGAAAACTAGAGTATATTTTGTTATTTTTCATTGGATATTACTATAAAACAAAAAATATCATTTTTACAGATTCAGTTTTATAGTAATTACTTACACAGTATTAGACTTTTTCAAGAGTTATATAAAACTTTATATGTCATTCTCACAGCAGTTCTCTGTGGTTGAGGTAGTATTGACATTTTTCAGAGGTAAAGTTAAGGCCCAGAGAGTCATACAGCTATGATATAAATATTAACATAATTCACAGTATTTTGATTCCAGATGTCTTCATTTCTCTAGCCTTGTATTTATTTTGTTTTTAATGTCATAATATTGCAGCTTGTTGACAGCATGTTTTTTTATGTTTTCAGGATATGGCTTTAGTTGCCCCTGAGGCTCCTTCAGAACAAGCCAGAAGAGTTTTTCAAACTTATGATCCAGAAGGTAAAAGATTTTATTTTTTACTAGCATTGTTTTATATCTTTATATATTTGAAATACATTGATCCTTTCCTGAGTTTTATTTTTAAAGAGTTGTTGGATTATTGAATGAAATCTATCTTGTACTAGTTGAAAATTTTAAATAAGAAACAGTGGAAATGAGAACCAAAAAAAAGGTGATCATCATATTCTCACATGGTAGAAGGGTTTTGTTTTACATGCTACTTAAGTATGGTTACTTGAATCTTCTGGTGGTGTTAAACAGGGAAAAATACTACTTCTGATTTAAACTTTCTTAGCAACTTTCAAATAAGCAGTACAGTATGATTATCTCTAGTTACCATGCTGTACATCACATCCCATGACTCATATTATAACCGAAACGTTGTACCTCTGACACCTTTTACTCCTTTCACCTACTTCCCCACCCCTTGCCTCTAGCAACCACCAATCTGTTCCTGTATCTATGACCTCAGTCTTGTTTAGATTCCATATATAATTGGGATCATATGGTATTTGTCTTTGTCTGATTTATTTCACTTAGCATGATGCCCTCAAATTCCATCCATATTGAGGCAAATGGAAAGATTTCCTTCCTTTTTATTGGCTGAATAATATTCCATTTAGTGTATATACCACATTTTCTTTATCCATTCATCCACTGATGGACATTTAGAGTGTTTCAGTATCTTGGTTTGTAAACAATGCTGCATTTGAACATGAAGATGCATCTCAAGTAGTGTTTTCTCTTCCTTCAAATAAATACCCAGAAGTGGAATTGCTGGATGATGTGGTAGTTCTCTTTTTAACTTTCTGAGAAACCTTCATACTGTACTCCATAGTGGCTGTACCAGTTTACATCCTATCAGTGCACAGGGGTTCCCTTTTCTCCACATCTTCTTCAACACTTGGTATTTCTTACTGTGACTTTGATGTGCATTTCCCTGATGACTAGTGGATGTTGAGTACTGTTTCATGTACTTGTTGTATATAATCAGTATATCTTCATAGGAGAGTGTGCATTCAGATCCTCTGCCTCTGTTTTAATCATAGAGTGTTTGGGGTTTCTGTATTGAGTTCTGTGAGGTTTTCGCATGTTTTGTATAGTAACCCCTTATCAGATGTGAGATTTGCAAATATATTCTCCCATTCAGTAGGTTGCCTTTTCATTTTCCTTTGTTACACAGAAGCTTTTTAGTTTGATACAGTCCGCTTGTTTATTTTTGCTTTTGGCGTCACATCCAAAAAAAATCAATGCCAAGAGTGTCGTGGAGCTTATCACCTGTGTTTTCTAATAAGTTTTAAGGTTTCTGGTCTTACAGTCAAGTCTTAACTCAAAGTGGATCAAATTACGTGTGTGGTGTAAGACAAGTGGCCCAGTTTTCCCGGTACCACTTGTTGAAGAGACTGATCTTTATTCATTGTATGTCACAACTCCTGTGTTGTAAGTTAATTGACCATTTATGTGTAGGTTCATGTCTGGACTCTATTTGTTCCATTGATCTGTGTGACTGTTTTAGGTCAGCACCTGAAAACAGGGCAGGGCACCCGGGGGACTAGACCTTCTGGGAGGAGATGCAGGAGCAGCGTTGATGAAGACGGTAGGAGACCATTGCAGCTGGGGCGGCGCGTGGTCCCCCCCCTCCCCAGCTGTGGGGGAGGCTTGCAGGGGTTTTCCCTTTCCCCAGGTGGTGAACTTCCTCCCAGGGCAACCCTCCTGGTGTCAGGCTGCTCTTGGCTGGGGGATGGGTAGACACAGATACTTCTTAAAAAGTGGTGTACTTTTCTACACCACTATCCTCAATCTGTTTTGGAACTCCGTGGGGTTTTTGCTGCTGCTTCATAGCCCAGTGCTATCCTTGGGCTGTTTTCTTCAGTTTTTAGTTGTTTGTTTTGTTGGGTTTTTGTGTGGGAGACATGAGTTGGGGTATCCAAGCCCTCCATCTTGCTGACACCACTCCCCAGAATATTTCTGTGTAATTGATTGTGCAAGGAAATACAGAAGAAGAAAAACCATCTTTATAATTTGTTTTTGAGCAAGATCTTAGCTTCTCTACCACACTAACAAAAGTTGTTTTGAAAAGTTCATTGATAGATAGACAGATATCACTCTTAGCTATCACTCTGTTGTCCACTCCATTGTTAGCTAGGTGATTTTGATCACCTTTGCATTTATGTACTTTAGTTAGGTGATGGTCACGACTAATTCACTGACTTTTCCAGGATAACCTTAAAACTGAGTCGTGCCTTCTATTCTCTTGTAAATTACCATATAGGAACCTATGTTTTTGGATGAGTCCTTATCAACCGCTGAATGCATTCAGTTATTTTTATAAATTCATTTTCTTCTGTCCTGAAATTTTTTGTTCTTGGAGATGTTAATCTCTGAAAATTTCAGTCACACAAATTCTAGGAATCTTGGTAACCCGTATAACTTTAGTTACCTTTCAGTCTATAAGTCTGCTTTCTTATGTATCATATAATAGCCTATTTAAGAGTCCTTATGAATATTAAATGAATAATGTTGTGTAAAGCACCTGCAGTGCTTAACACGTAGTAGGTATTTTATAAATGTGATTCCTTTCTCTCTGCACCTCAAGTTAATTGGTGCTGGTACTGGTGAGTTTACATACAGTTAGTTTCTTCCACTGTGCCTTTTTATTAACTTGGAAAAAAAAAATTTCTTTCCTCTTGGAATTAATAATCTTTTAAACTTCCAGTAACATTTCATTCTAAGTCTTTAGAAGTGAAAGTAATTTACATCTTTATATTTTCCCACCACTGAATGAAATCAGTTTTATAGTATTAATAAGTTAACAACTTTACCTGGAATCACTGGTTATGTGTGGCACATTGAACTGTGTCGTGGAGGGTGACAAAAATAAGCATCCTCTTACCTCTTTGAATCCTTTGATGTAAAAGATGGGAAATAAATAATTTATGTTCCTAAATGCTTTTAGTATCTTTTGAGTTGGGATCAAACTTAATAGAGTTTTTGGAAACTGTAGCAAGTTAAAATGAAAATAAGATTGACATAAATGAGATTAAAAGAAATGTGATGGACGTGAACTGAGATTAGCTAGAGAGCCATCAAGAAGACCTGAGGGGGGAGGGTCATGCTGCAAATGGAAGCATAAAGAAGAGAAAGTGATATCTGTGAACATAAGGTAGGAAATAGCAATTTACATGCAGGCAGTAGCCAGCAAAGTGTTTGACTTGAGTGCAAAGACAAGGCACAAGAAAAATAATCATGTAGCATTTACTAAAGTGATGCCAAAGGTAAGAAATTAATGGTCAAGGCTTGGATTTATGGGGTTTTTCTTTTCCTTCTCTTTCTTTTATTGGGATATAATTGCTTTACACTGCTGTCTTAGTTTCAGCTATGTATGCATATATTCCCTCCCTCCTGCACCAGGGAAGGAATAGAGATGCAGACATGAGAGAATGGACGTTTTATACAGGGGCAGGGGAAGGAGCCAGGGCGGTGGGCAGGGGGGATGAATAAAGAGTAGCATTGACATATATACACTATCGTGTGTAAAATAGCCAGCTAGTGGAGGCTGCTGTGTAGCACAGGACACTCAGCTCAGAGCTCTGAGAGGATTTATGTTTTAAAGAGCTATATTTCAGAGAACAAGTCAAGCAATTTTCTGTTATATACCTTCCTCTTAAGGATTTAAGGTATTTGTTTTGTTTTTTCCCTCCCATCTCTCACCCCTCTTCTAGATGTTTGCCTTTTCTATACCTCACATCCCAGTGGAGGATAAGTGTGGAGTGGTATAGACACATACACATGTAAATGCCCGCTCTGTTTCAGGCCATTTTAGGTGACATGTTTCTACCCAGATTGATAGTAATCACTGTGTGAGAGGTAGTTTCCTTCTGGAATGGAATACATTATAGGATGGAGTAGGTAAGATGACTTGACAGATGAACTGGGTATCTTCCCAGGGTTTCCAGTCAGGTCTTTATAGTGCTGTGTAATTTTGATTTGAATTGATGGTCCAAGATATCAAGCATACTCTTATCCCAGTGTAACCACCATCACAAACCACTCTCACCTCAAACATATGAGTTTTCTGTACTCAGCCTTTTTGGATACCTATATATTTCTTTCCTTAGTGAGAAATTGAGACCTGAAATTATAAGTGAATGAGTTTCTTGAGAAAAGAAATGTGCACAGAAAGTATCAGAATATTTCAGGAGATAACTGAACATAATATTTTAGGAGATGATAAAGGTGTAGAGAGATGCCTTCAGAATGAGGAGTATCACAGCCATAGGAGAGCTGGACTTGAAAAGCCTAATGTTATTTAGAAGGCGAGTTTTGTTTTGTTTTGTTTTGTTTTTAAAGGAAGGAGCCATCAGGAATACAAAGATACTAAAACTAAGGTTTAGTATCTACAGTCACAAGTAGTAGATTTGTTTGCTTTTTACAATTTCAATTTTTTCCATCATTAATGAGGTAGCAAACTCCATTTGGTTTTACTAAATTACAAGGAAAATTAGACTATCTTATTGTCAATACGAAAACACAATTTATGATCAGTGGTGGTTTTTCTGAATGGAGTCCTGAGGAATACATAGGAAAATAAATTTGTTATGTTTTTTAATTAGAGAAAATTATTAATTATATAAAGTAGTTTTCATCTATATAGTTTTATGTGGGACAACTTAGCAGGACTATAATCTAAATAGTTAAGAAGTAAACAAAACTTGTTCAGTCATCTTAGAAAAGCTGTCTCTTCCTATTACTTACCTTCAGTTCAGTTCAGTTGCTCAGTCTTGTCCAACTCTTTGCAACCCCTTGGATTGCAGCACACCAGGCTTCACTGTCCATCACCAGCTCCTGGAGCTTACCATGGAGAAAATGAACTCCACTTTCCCATTTGAGTATCACTGTTTATTGTTTAGCTATATAGAGTCCACTCTAGGAAGTTGGATTAAAGATAGAAAATTCTTCATTTTTAGTCACAAACTAAACAGTTAACTTACTAATTTGATCCCCACCCCCACCCCCACCATAGTACTCTTTTCTGTATTCTGCACCATGTTTAGTTTGTTTTGTAACTTTCCCATCACATAAGGTGAAGTGGTTCTGCAAGATAGGCCAGAAATCAACTACTCATTTCTTTCCAAACTTATAGGTACAGTTCACAAAGCTGTTTTTGGTTGAACCATGGTACCTGAACAGAGCAGTTTATGTAAGTCTAAAGTTAGGATTAGCTTGAATAATTGAATGTCAGAACTGTGATTGAGCAGCTTCTTATGTCAAGCCCTGTGCTGGTCCTGGGGCTGTCTTCCCTGCCGTCCAGGGGCCGGAGAAGCAAAGCAGCAGGGAGACATGGGACAGGAGACCAGGGCAAAAGCAACCACAAAAACGCCCAGACCTTGCCTCAGGGCCAAAGTCACATATTTTCTCCACTAAGAGTTTTACTAAATTGTTTATGTTATTAAAGCATGAATAATAATAATAATAGGTAAAGTACAACATTTAATAATAATTTATTAATTTCTTGAATAAAACCAACAGTGTTTACATTCTCCTCAGTTAGATCTCTTCTAGGAAATGGCAGCCCACTCCAGTATTCTTGCCTGGGAAATCCCATGGACAGGGAAGCCTGGTGGGCTACAGTCCATGGGGTCACAGAGTCGGACACAACTTGGTAACTAAACATAACTAGCTCTCGGTTTTCTCCTCTGTTCCTAAGAAACTTTACTCTTCTTACCTACAGAGTTTTGAATATGTTACAGTCCCAATGCTGGGTCCTGCCTCCTCTTGAGCTCTCCTTCACCCGCTTGAACTCCTGACACAGCTCTTCTCTTCTCCTGCAGCTCTCTGTCAGCTGCGGCCTCTGCTAAGACAGACTTGCCAGGTTCCCCTTGTCTTTCTCAGGTTCTCCCAATAGGAATCACAGTGGGTGCTTCCTTTTCCTTCATGTCCAGCTCTGACTTCTTCTCACTCATGGACTCTCATTGTACCCAGCAGGTTGTTACTCCACTGTCTCGTTCCTTCCCGGCACTGCTTGATGCTGTCCCTCCTCTCACGCTCTAGGAGCTGGGCACTTAACTGGTTTTTAAAAAGCAAAACTCTTTTAAATTTGTAAACAAACAGCTTTCCCCCTCCTTTTCAAATGTCTTAAAACACAGCCTAACTGTATGTGAATATTGGCTCTGTAGCTGCTCACCAGCTCACTGTCACACACACAGTGCCCCCTCTCATCCTCCCCATTCTTCTGAGGTAGAACGCCTGCACAAGTCTGTCATATTCGTGTGGTTAAATTACTGATGCATTCACATAATCCTTTTTTCCTTTGGTGCTTCTCAGTTCTGCTGTGTGTGTGTGTGCACGCACGCACTCAACCATGTCTGATTCTTTGCAACCCACCAGCACTGCAGCCCATGGACTATAACCCACTGGGCTCCTCTGTCCGTGGAATTTTCCAGGCAAGAATAGCTTGAGAAGTCAACAAATTGACTCTCAGGTTTCCTCTGCTGTTGGTATTGAGGTCATCTTATCATTGTGTCTCTATTTCCATATTCTCTGCAGAACCAACCAACTAAATCCTAGATGGCATGAGTTTCATCTGGTTAGACTTAAGGCTTCTTTTTCTAAACAACTTGTCTTGATATGAATGACTGCTAAAGAATAAAGTATCTTCAAAATCAGTGTTTTAAAAAGGTAATTCCAAATATCCTCTTCTGATTTTGGGTATATTAAAAAGTCTGTGAGGTATTGAAAAAACGCTCTCCAGTCTCTAGTTATACTGAATGTATAAAAAAAATAGAGTCACTGGCTTCTAGTCACTGCTGTGCTGCGTGTTTACAAGCTGTAAATCTGATAGGCCACTTAAAAAAGTTTCGGAATGGTTAAGTTTTGAGGTGAATGATGTTTGAGTTAAGGAGGTCGTTGTGTTGTTTTCCTGGTTGTTGTTTGTATCTTATACAGCCAGTTAGCTTTTTCTGAGGATGGGAGAGGAGTCTCAGTTACAGTAAGAAGAGATAAGGCTGCCTGCCATTCATTCAGTGCATCAGAAGAATATTGTAATACACACTGCCTGTGTCGAGTGATACATGTGATGACCCATAAACACAGAACTGTTTCTGTCTGCCAGTGACCTGATAAAGCCTGTTTTACATTTGGAGAGGCTAAGCCTTTAGCTGTGACCTAACTAAGCAAAATGAGTGATTTTTGTCTACCTTTCGAACTCAAGTTAGGCTTACAAAGCTGGAATATTTTCACAGGTGCCTTCAAACAAGTTCTTTATTCTCTATATTGTAAATTATTGGTAACTTGACAAACTGGAATTATTCTAAACCCCCACTTTATAAAATTATGTTTAGGGAAATTTTTAATTATCCTAAATGATTCTCAGCCTTTTAGTCAAGGCCAGTCGGTCTTCATATGAATGAGCATGTGCTTATGAGGTTTACGAAAAGACTTTAAAAAAATCATAACTTCTCTATTTCCTTTCTGGTAGAGACAGTACACACTACATCCAGAAAGAGCAGCTATGCTTTATTTTGTGGTTTGATGACAGAAGCGGGACTTTTGGACACCTTGTTTTCCAGGACAAGATTTTTATTTTTATTATTATTCTAATCCCTGAAAAGGGTATGGTGGTATTATTATCATAATCCCTGAAAAAGGGTATCGTGTTGGAAGCTGATCAAAAGCCAAGACAGTCTTCAGGAATGAGTAAATGGGTAGAGGAACTCAAGCATTGTACATTTAAGGGAATCAACAACTTGCTTGTTTAAAAGCACTGTGATTTCAGACAGCCCTACAAGCTTTTTTTGTGTGTCATGCTCTATTGCATCATCTGAGTTTGGGCCATTTACCATCCTCATTGAGCCCCAGAAAAGGAGTATTTTCTATGGACTAGTCTTCATCAACATTTGATTCTACCCTGCGTCCCAACTTTTTTTTTTCCCTATTAAATCTTTGGCTTTAAGGCAGGTCTGTTGATTTAAATCAAGAGATATCTTTTCTTGATCTTATATTGTTAGAGATCTAAATAGCAATCAATCATGAACATCCTTTCAAAAAATTACATAACATTGTAAAAAGAGGAATTTATTGGTAAAGGATTATTGGATTTGTTAAAGGGAATTTAAAGGTTTATATAATTTATTGAAAATATACCTAATTAATAAATAGTTGTTATAAACTTAAGTAGAAAAACTTACATCATTTAAATTTGTAAGCCTGTTTAAGAAGTAATTTGACTTTAAGATTTCCTTGGTGTTCTCAGGTAGAAGTCATGTGGTTATTTTTGAAACTAACCTTGAAAATAAATCTTTGCCTTTGTGCTCAAGAACACTAACAGAAAAAAAGAACCTAATAATAATAGACATTGTTCCCAAAATAAACTTAATATGCTATTCCTTAACTCTTTGTGTCCCACTTACTGACCTTTCACTGGCTTCTGTGATCAGCAATAATAACATTTCTTGAAGTAAACTTTATCTAAATTGTTTCTGTAATATTTTTTCTCAGATAATGGATTCATACCTGACTCACTTCTAGAAGATGTGATGAAAGCATTGGACCTAGTTTCAGATCCTGAATAGTAAGATACATACAAAGTGTTATTTAGTGAGGAGGGAGGGAGGGGGGACTCTTACTGCAGCACGTGGCCATCGTCTTCATTAATAATGTACATCATTACATCTATAACTTCTATAAATTTGGGATCCTTATTATCCATGGGAAGATATCTCTCTAGTTAGGTGGACACATCTTTTAATCAAATACATAATATATTGATCAAATATAGGTAATTAAAAATCACCTTTGATCTACATTTCCTTTTTTTTTGTCTTCTTCTGAAAGTGTATCTGACAGTGAACAAGCTTTAGCTAACAAACATTTAAGGAAAGGATTCAGCAAAAGCAACCCAAAACATATTGGTATACCCAGTGTTTAGAATTTGATCCTATTCTGTTTTCAGTTAGTTTGGCTATATTTTCTTTGAAACTATGAAATATGTATAAACATTTGCAAACTAATCACATGTGAAATAATGTCTCAATCTCACCACCTAGAGCTGGGATGTTACCCTTTCTTAGTAGACATAATTGGTGATTCCAACTTAAAGAGGAGAAATTCAGAGACAGTTGAACCAGTCCAATAAATGGTATAATAGTAACTACCGTATTTCTTCTCAGCTGATTACCAAGTGGGGAGCTTTTTGTTTACGTTGCTGTACTACGCAAAAGAGACTTGACTTGGATAATTTCAGTCACTAGCAAGTCTTAAGATGGGAAAGAAGAAAAAGGCAGTTATTAAAGTTAGCACAGATGAGTCAAATTGTTTTTCTAGAAATAGCTGAAAGATTGGACAGTTACTCACTTGACCCTCTGGTCCAGTCACATTTATAATATTTGATGGCCATAAACTAACTGGACCTTATCAAGGATTAACAAATATAGTAAATATGACTGTGTCTTCATTTGTTTCATGTCACAACATGACATATATGTACTACTGTATTCTTAAAGTAAGCTAAAGGAAAGCTTATTAAGAAAATCATAAGAAAGAAATTTATTTATGATATGTGTATATATTGATTGAAAAATATATGTGTGTGTTTAAGTGGACCCTGGCAATTCAAACTCATGTTATGCAAGGGTCAGCTGTATAAAAAGTTATCTTTATAACCTGAGAGGTAATATGGAGAATAAAAATGTTCTGAGAAGACCATTATCGTTTTTAAAACTCTTTAAACTGCAGTCCACTATTCTCTGCCTTCTTTCTTCACATACTTTCAGCAAACTCAGTGACACCAAATGGTAAGGGTTGTGCCAAGCGCTGCTCCAAACTGATCATGGAACAACAATCGTGCCACTTCCTGAAATTCAGTGTACTTTATTAGCTCTTTGAGAATTGTCTTACCTTTTTTAACCTTCATTTTATACTGTCCAAGAATTTTAAGCCTCCACCTCATTTGGTTCTTGAAAGTAAGCTTTTCAGGAGATGTTTTTGATTGCCTGATGTACCACTGCCTTTGACACTGTTCCCTTTTCTCTTTAACGTAAAAGAAAAAAATGTTTACGCCTAAATGCCTCATTTGGTAGCTAAATTCAGGCATACCTATGAAGAAAAGGGAATGTGCCTTTGGGAGGCTGTAGGCCTGCTTTTGTGAGCCTGGGTTTTTAAGTTACTTTACCTAATAAGGAACAATATTCCAAAGTGATCATCATAATTTAAATTCTAAATAGTAACAGATTACTCTGGTTTAAAAATAACCAAGTTTTGGCAAATTAGATGTCATTCCTGTGTATTTGTCATTAAGGGTCTAAAAAAGAACAGCTCTTGGGATTTTGGGCAGTCAGATGTGTTGCAGTACCAGTAATTCAATCATGAAAGAAGAAAAAGAAGCTTTTTTTTCCTGTGGTATCCACTGTTTTTCTTTTTTCTCTCTCCATAGTATAAATCTCATGAAGAATAAATTAGATCCAGAAGGATTAGGAATCATATTATTGGGTCCATTTCTTCAAGAATTTTTTCCTGATCAGGTAACATAATTGAAGAAATACATTTATTGTTTTGTTCTTTTGGGATGATCATATTATGATTGTTTCAGCATTTTTTTTCCTACTAACCATGTTCTAACATGCAGATATTAGACTAAGAAAACATTATTATGTAAATACTTGCCCAGACCAAGAGGCTAGAAGGGCATGTGTGTTCCAATACAGTAATGTAAAATTTTGATTAAAGGATAGAGGTGGTGAAAGAGAGTATATACACCAATACAGACACATTGATACTGTTTTCTAAAGGAAGATTCAAATTCAGAAATATGTGGAATAAAAAGAGAAAGATTCTCTTAATCTCCTCCTGCCCCTGGGTAACTTCTCTCAGGTAACTATTTTCAATAGATTGGTGTGTATCTTTAGAACTTTCTCAATGCTAGCAAAGAAGGTAAAGTAGCCTGTAGGTAGTGCGAACTCCTACCAGTGCTCCTGTGTCCCAGGAGAATTTTAGTTGCATTAAAGGAGACCCTTTGAATGGAACTGTGCTGTTTCATGTTGGGACATGTCTTCCACTGGCTGCAACCTGAGCTCAGTTAAAGCATCTATACCAGTCTCAGTACGCTCCAGTCATGTCTATGTCACTGGCTAATTCTACAGCCTACCCTTACTTTTCCTGCTATCAGAGTGCAGGGTTTTACCACTCCCTCAAATTATTTAGCAAGGTGTGTTGTGATCATTTCATCAGATGCCATTATGGTTTACAGTAAGAATAGCAGGAGCAGCTACCATTTAATAAGCATGTACTATGCATGAGATACTGTGTACCTTCTAAATTGTGTATTATTTTTCCCCCATTTTGCCAGTGAGGAAATTGAAGATTAGAGAACTTAAAAAATGGCTTAAGGTTATACTGCTAGCACAAGGCCAATTCAGGATCCAGTGTAGGTTGTCTAAGCCCAGAGACAAAGCATTTTAGCGCTGCTACACTACCTTCTGTTGCTATTTATTTTATACCACTTGTTACTAGAACTGCAGTAAAATATTTATTTTATAAGTTAAAATATGTTAATTCTGAAAATCCAGTCAAATCATTTATCTAAGTAATTGCACTGACTCATGTATAAATTAAGATGGTTGATATGTCTTATAAAGCTTTTGTGTGGGATACAAAAAACAGCTTAGATTCTTGACATGAAAAGTTAAAAACAGTTAAAAATATCAACTCTTTTAAAATGTGATGCACAAATTATTGAGACAACTGGAAGTCCAATTAGTATATTTAAGGAAAACTTAAAGTAAGATTTGAACTAGATCTTGTAAAACAAGAGAAGTTGAAAAAAAAAAATCACAAATGTGCACAGAGCTGACAACATAAGGTCTTTTCATGGGAAGATGAGGAATACGCTTGTCTTAGAGAACTTAGAAAGGTGAGTGGTTGGTGACAAGACTGGAAAAGCAGCTTTTAGGTCCTACATTTTTAGGATTCTTGGTTACAAATCCCACCGTGAACTAAACGTGAGCAGGAAGGAGTAGCTCAGAATAGCTGAGGGATAGAAGAGGTAGCGCCTGGAAGGTGGGTTCCAGGAGCTTCTGGGACTGGGCCAAGTCTCATCCCCAGGTGTGACTATTTCAGCTTTTACGTTTTATAGTACTTAAGTACATAAATCTGAGTTTCTTGCTTTGTCAACTGATTTCTTAATCAAAGTCTGTGGAATTAAGAAGCTTCCATTTTACTTTCAATTGCTAGTTAGAAATTGCCTGATATACAGATTTACAGTTTTAATTGTTGGTTATTTATAATATAGGGTTCCAGTGGTCCAGAGTCTTTTACTGTCTACCACTACAATGGATTGAAACAGTCAAATTACAATGAAAAGGTATGATAACTCAGTGTAATTTGTCTTCACCTGAGTTGATAAAATACAGGAGTATGTATTAACAGTGTCTGAGTCCCATCAAACTGCTGCCTAAGCAAGGAGGTTGTTCTAGGAGTCTCTTTACTGTCACAGCTTATCTGAGACCTGGACTCAGTGAGAGCATCATTGGAATTTTGGAGCAGTGGTTTCACTGTGAGAAGGTAGCTCCATCTACATACATGTTGTTACCCTTGATGTGCAAATATTACAGAATCAAGTTTAGTACATGGAAGTTACTGATCCACTTAAATGAAGAAAGAAGGGATAAGAGGGAGATTTTTTATTTAAAAAAAAAAACCACTATTTGAAAGGATTTAAATTAATAATCATAACAGCGAGCATTTATTGAGGATGTACCTAGAATTGTCGTCAACACTTTGTGTTCATCAGCACTTTGTTTTCTCCAAAGTTTCACCCCACCCCATGAACTTAAGTATTCTTGCATATTCTCATTTTACAGTGGAGGAAACTGAGGCACAGAGAAGGAAGCAGCTTACCAAGGTCAGGCAGCCAGGAAACAGCAGAGCTGGAGCGAAGGCTAGGTGTCTCCCTCCGAGCCTGCGGCTCACCCGCTGTGCTCTGATCTTTCCTTCTTGAATCCGGACTAGGGCCCACGGTACTTCACTTCCAGATGTACTCATCTACAGCAGAAGTTTGGTCTTGCCAGTTCACCCTCTTTGATTAATGAGCTTGGCGACACATAAGATATATCTACTCTGTTTGCATTTATTCCAGTAAGAGTCACAGTAGATATAGCTAATATTAGAAGGAGTAAGGCCTAACATGCCTTTTTAATCTCAAGTACCCATGCTGACTTCATGTGTATCTGATATACTGAGGATGGCTACAGAAAACAGATCATCATGTGCATTAGAGCAAATCTAAACCTGCCCCTAAAATTTACTTTTGTTTTCATAACAAAATATAAATTAGAACTTTTACTAAATTAGGGCCAAAGATCTTTTCATAGGAGGATAATTGATTGATACCTATTGTGAAAAATAGAAATTTGTCAATAAGAGAACTTGTATGTTTGGTCCTAATGTGTAAATGAGTGCTTCATCTAGATGTAAATTCTGTGTAGCCTTGTCCTAGAAGGTACTTTGTAGTCACAAAGTAGTTACTTGCCTACACAATCCCTGCAAGGTGCATCAGTCAAATATTATCTGTATTTTACAAATGAAGCCTCTAGGACAGGGAGATTAAGCAACTCACCCAGGGTCACATGGCCAGTCACTGGCAGAGCAGGGACTGGAGCTGAGTTCCTGAAACCCAGTCCTGTCCTTGGTCTGCTTGCCCACGCTATATGTGTATAGTAAGTTTTTAAGTCATGCTCATGACAGGTGTCTGACATGACTAACAAACAGATCAGAAATCAAAGATGAACTATTAACCTGACAACAGTACATAAGAATTAGAATGCCGAGCATATGTTATACCATTAAGCTGCAAAGGTATAACATAAAGTTACTTCTGAGCTATTAAAAATACCTGAGGAAACTGGCAGCAGGAGAAGGCTGGCCAAGTGGAAGGGAGCCTGACCCACTGGGGCAGCCCAGGCTGGTGAGGCCACAGAGATGATCATGGTACTCAGCCCCGAGCACTTCTGCTGTAACACTGTGAGCAAGGAAAGTTTCTCATGGAAGAGGTCTTGTCTTTCTTGTTCATTATGATAACCTGTTATATGCTTGGTGGACAATTTTTCAGAAAAAGAAGTTTTGCTTTAGAGAGTTAAAAGCATGATTACTTAGGGTTTTAATAGTAAACTTAACTCCATTAAAACTAGAACCTAATTAAGAAACCAAAGTACCTGGCCTAGTGATAGAAAATACTCCAGTCCTGTAGTTAATGTTTTTTAAGGAGACTCCAACTTAAGGCTAAGTTTATAGCTTTTATCTTGGAAGAACATAATTACAATCATGTGTATCAGCCACTGAGTGTGAAAATCACTGTACATACTTTTCAACACAGCAGGCTTATTCTGTTGTCTTTCAAATTAATGCGATTAGAATCTCCTGATATCAAGAGACATTAATGACAAGGCTTTCATGTATACATGAGTGCTTATAAATGCTCATTGTCAGTATGTTGCTTCATAAATAATGTCTAAAAGTTTTTTTAATCAGAATAAAACCTTTTTCTGATGTCCACCTGCCACTGCATATCAGTTACATAGTTTTTTATCCATCAGCCTTTTACTGCTATTTGATTTCTGTTTCTGACTGAAATCTTTTTTTCTCCTGATTTTTTGGGCTGAACCAAAATGAAGAGCACTTCAGAAGTATTTAATACAATAACAGAAAATTTCATTGACAAATATTCAACTTGCTTCCAGTTCTGGAAATTCAGCACTTTATTTTCTGCTTTCATCATAAGTCCTTCTCAGAATATATAGCTGTATTTTTATTACAGCTTTTTATCTGAAATAAGGCAGCATTTGAATGAGGTGGCAACATTTGAAGAATGAATTTTCTTTTCTCAGAAATAGCGTCGTCTTTATCAGAAACAGTACGTTCTTTGTGATTTTTTTAAAATCCCGAATTGTAAACACAGTACCCTGTTTGCTAGTCTATGAAAAAGTCCCTCATAAGACTTTGCTAAGAGTATTGATTGATCTCGGTGGCTTGCTTCTGTTCAATAGGTAATGTATGTGGAAGGAACCGCAGTTGTTATGGGGTTTGAAGACCCCCTGCTACAGACAGATGACACGCCCATTAAACGCTGTCTCCAAACCAAATGGCCATACATTGAATTACTCTGGACCACAGATCGCTCTCCTTCACTAAACTGATTTGCCTAAGTATTTATAAAGAAGATTGTAATAGCAGATGTTGAAAAAAGGATGCAAGACTGGCGAGTGGCCCAATGAAGCTATACACTGGTATCACTGATAAACTGTAAATAACAATTAAAGACACATTTTCAGTGTTTAAGATATGTTTAAATTATTTGTTTTAAAGCTTTATGTTAAAGGTTACCCTATTTAAATTCTTTATGTGAAATTTACTAGCAAAACTAAGCTTTAATCAAAGTTCATCACTGTTGCAGTCAGATAATTTGGTCATTTGCCAAATTACAGACATCATATTACAATAGCATTTTTATATTGAGTATCAAGGTTACTATTTATAGACTTCTACTTTGGGATTTTATTTAATTCAGGCACCATTTATTGTTTAAGTAATTCTGGCATGCAATACATCAGCCTCCACATTGAAATGCAAAAGAGTTTTTACCTTCATTATTTCTAAAATCTGGTTTCCATTAGAAATATTGATAAATAACAAATTATCAACCTGGATCTTTGACAATTGGCTTAGCTCTGGCATGTGTATAAAAAGTAGAAACTATAAGGGAACATTACCATTTATTCACAGATATATAGAGGAAGAGAATCTGTTTGATAGTCTTAACACTGTTAACTTTCACTGTATTGCCAATTACACATTTCCAAATTTGTCCCAACAGCCCTGTAAGCCAGCTTTCTTGTATATTTATAAATGTGATAAATGCATGAGAACATCTGTTATTACATTAGTATATTGCATTATTTATTATGATCCTAGTCGATGGCTTAAATAAACATTTTTTCCTTTAACCTTACCCTTGATTTGTTTACATTCGTAGCTCAAAATAACATACTCTTAAATGAGTCTGCCCAGTAGCCTTGAGAGCACAGAACAAATGCCTGCTGGACTCACACAGCACCTCAACAGGGAGACCAAACCTTGCACCTACCTAGGAACTCTGTAACTCAGATGGTCAGAAGCACCAAAATCTGGAGGACAGAGTTACAGAAGCCCCTTCCTCTGTACTTTTGAGAGCAATTACTGTATTTCAGTAGTTTTGTTGCCCAGCCATTTGAAATGTGAATACCCAGAAAATACTTCACTTAGGCAGACAAGATAGCCTCTTGAATTTCAGAACTGAACTTTACCTTCAACAACAGGTATTTCCTATATAAATCTCTTGGGGGTTTTATTTATATTTTTGTATACATTGACAATGATAAAAAGTAGATTTTAGCATAGGAAAACCCCAAATTTTATATATAACAACTTTCGGTAGCACTGTATTATGAGTGTGATAGTAGCTACTACAGTTACAGCTGTAAAATGTCAGTATTTTGGGTTAATCTTGCTTATTTCCAAATGGATATAAAATATTAATAGAATTAGTTCTCTAACTCTGCTCCTAAATTCCACAAGGATTATGAAAAACCATAGATTCTATTCATAAACATTGAGCCTACAATATAATCTGTTATTCTTACAGTTGTTTCATAACAAACCATTCTAAAACTTCATGACATAATCATTTTATAAAGCCTATGGCTCAGGGGTTTGAACAAAACACGATGGGAGTGGCTTGTCTGCCTCTTAGTCTGGAGGCCCAGCTAGGCGAGTGTAGGCCCCTTAACTCCCATGACTGGGACCTTAGCTTGATCTGACAACTGTCAAATATGATATCAGACAACTGCAGATAACATTTTCTCTCCACGTCCATGTGGGATACTTAACCCTAGACCATACACCATAAAACAAACCTAGAAAAATCCCCAAAAGTCTGGAGATTAAGCAGCACACTTCTGAATAACCCAAGGGTCAAAGTGGAATTGCAGTGGGAATTAGAACATATTTTTTGCTGAATGATATTGAAAATAGCAGATAGCAAAAATTGTGGGATAGAAACCAAGCAGTGCTTAAATGCAAATGTGTAACTTTATAGAAAGTTGGGAAATTAAAAAGGTATGCTTTCATCTCAGAAACAAACTGAAAGTAAATAACAATGCAAAAAGAATCATCCACATACAAGGGAATGAATTCAGACTTCTACTTCACGCTCTGTATAAAAATTTAAAAGATCAGAGATCTAATTGTAGGCTAAAACTATAAAAGAAATTTTCCCCATCACAATAGGCTAGGCAGTGTTTCTTAGAATACCAAAAACAACAGTAGCAGCAAAGATATATTGAACTTCATCAAAATTAAAAGCATTGTGTATAAAAGGACACCATCAAAAAGATGAGATGACAACCCACAGAATGAGAGAAAATATTTAAGGCTCATTATCTCATGAGGAATTTGTATACAGAATATATAGAAATCTTAACACACAAAAATGTTAATGGCCAAATGATGGGAAGAGATACTGCCAAAGATGATAAAAAATGTCCAGTAAACACATGAAAACGTGCTTAACAAAATCAGCCATTAGGGAAATTCAAATAAAAGTCATGAGATATCACCTTACCTATCCTAGGACGTTTAAATAAGAAAGCTAGACAATAACAGCTGTTGGCAAAGATGTGAAGAAAATGGAATTCTGCAGTTGTTGGTGGGGATATAAAATGGTGAAGTCACTTTAGAGAAAAAGTAGTGCAGTTCTTCAGGAAGTTAAATCAAGGGTTAGCATATGACCCAGCATTTCCACTCCTAGGTATACACCCAAGAGAAACAATATATATATCACAAAACTTTTCTTTAAATATTTATAGTGGTGTTATTCATACTAGCCATAAATGGAAACAATCTAAATGTTTACTGATGGGTGGATAAATAAGTGGATATACATATAATAAAAAGCCATTTGAAAATTAAGAATTACTGAAACGTGCTACAACATGGATGAACTTTGAACACCTGCTAAGAGAAAGAAGCCTATTGTAAAAGACCACATATTACGATTCCATTTATGTGAAATGGCCACTGTAGGCAAACCATAGAGGCAGAAAAGGGGTTAGCAATTGCCTGAGCCTAGGATGGGGATTGAGTGGGACAACAGAATTGGGAAATAACTGCTAGTGTATAGGGGTTTCTTTGGGTGTAGTAAAAATGTTTAAAGTAGTGATGGTTGCATAACTGAATGTACTAAAAGTCACACAATTGTAAGAAAAAAGATAAAAGGAGAGATCCATGAGACAACAGTTCTATTCTATGAAAAAAGGCAGCAACAACAAAAGACCTCTTGGGAGGGGAGGCGAGCAGGGAAGAACTAATAAAAAGGATAAAAACAAAATGAGAAGTAAAACAAATTATTAACACCAAAAAAGGAAAGGGGAACATTGCTTAAAATTCTCTAGATATGAAAAAGACAGGAGTTAAGAGTACATTCGAACTTGTTATTATTATCTTAAAAGGAGACATAAATTTAAACCTCATGGAAACAAGCAAAAACCTAAAATAGATACACAAAAGATAAAGGAATCTAGACATATCACTATAGAAGATCATCAAACCACAGATGAAAAGATCAAGAGAAGGATGAGGAATTACAAAACAGCCAGGAAACAATTAACAAAATGGCAGTAAGTACATACCTATCAATAATTACCTAAAATGTATATGGACTAAATTCTCTAAAATACACAGCATGGCTGAATAGATTTAAAAACAAGACCCATCGATATGCTGCCTGCAAACAGACTCACGGGTTGTAAGGACACGCACTGAAAATGAAGGGATATAAAATGATACTCTGCACAAATGGAAGACAAAAACCTGAGGTAACTAAATTTTATCAAGCAAAACTGACTTCCAGACAAAGACTGTAATAAACAAAAGATAATTATAAAATGATAAGTCAGTCCAATGAAAGGATATAACATTTGTGAATTATACTCAACATAGGAGCACCTAAACATATAAAGCAAATATTGACAGCCCTAAAGGGAGAAGTAGACATCATTATAATAATATTAGGGAACTTTAATAATCCACTTTGATAAACAGAACATCCAGACAAAACCAGAAAAGAAACACTGGACTGAAACTACATGTCAGACCAGATGGATTTAACATATACAGAACATTCCATCCAAAAGCAACAGGATACACATTCTTCTCAATCTAACATGAAACATTCTCTAGGATATATGATGTTAGAGCACAAAAATCAACAAAGATGGAAATCACATCAAGCGTTTTTTCCTTCTGACTACAATGGTGTGAAACTAGAAATCAATTATAAGAAGAAAACTGGGAAATTCACAAATAGGTGGCTATTGAACAGCATGCTACTGAACAGTCAGTGGGTCAAAGAAGAAAACAAAAGAGCAGTCAAAAACAAAGACAAGTGAAAATGGAAATAAAACATGCAAAATCTTCCAGGACACCAGAAGCAGTTCTAAGAGGGAAGCTCATCATGATAAATGCCTATGTAAAGAAACAAGAAAGATCTCAAAAAAATTACCTAACTTTATTCCTTAAAGATACAAAAAAGAAATGAATCTCAAGTTCATACAAGGAAGGAAATAAAGATTATAAATGAAATAGAGTAGGATGGGTTAGGGAGTGAGAGGGAGGGGACATATGTATACTTATGGCTGATTCATGTTGTATGCCAGAAACTAACAGCATTGTAAAGCAATTATTCTCAATTAAAACTTTTTTAAAAGAAACAGCCTTAAAAGACAAAAGGTTATTGAAACATAAGTCTAGTTTTTTGAAAAAGTACACAATATTGGCAACATTTGGCTAAGAAAAGAGTACTCAATATCAGAAATGAAGGAGGAAACAACTGCACTGAGAAATACAAAGACTCAAGACGCTACTATGAACTATCTTAGGCCAACAAATTGCACAACTTTGAAGACATGGAAATTTCTAGAAATATATACAACCCATCAAGACTAAATCATGGAGAAAGAGAAAATCTGAATAAATTCATTACTAGCAGGGAGATTGAATCAGTATACCTAAAATTAATTCAATGCTATGTGCCAGTTATATCTCAGAATTTTAAGGATAGGAAGGTATAAATTATAGGCTAAGCAAAAGGTACACATGTCCTTTGAAAAGTGAAAATGATAGCACTCAATCATGTCCAACTCTATGCAACCTCATGGACTGTAGCCCACCAGGCTCCTCTTTCCATGGAATTCTGTAGGCAAGAATACTGAAGTGGGTTGCCATTCCCTTCTCAAGGGGATCGTTCCGACCCAGGGATCAAACCCAGGTCTTCTGCGTTGCAGGCAGATTTTTACTGTCTGAGCCACAAGGGAAGACCACACACGTCCTTTATTAAATAAAGACTGGTGAAAGCACCATAATTCTCTTTGAAAAGCAAACATTAATTGTTGAATAAATAGCACAATACACCATTGTTCTTCTAGGTTTACCCAAGTCCCTTCTAGGAAGATAAAGTAAGAAGAAAACTGAAGCTTATAAAACCTGGTTTTAAACCTGGCTCTATCACTTACTTTATTCATTGAGCTAGCATTTATCAACTCTCTCCTAGACATAAGTCCACTTAATATTTTGAATCTTAATTCCTGTGCTTTGAAGTGAAGTGAAAGTTGCTCAGTCATGTCCAACCCTTTGCGACCCCATGGACTATACAGTCTGTGGAATTCTTCAGGTGAGAATACTAGCGTGGGTACCCGCCATTCTCTTCTCCAGGGGATCGTCCGAACCCAGGGATCAAACCCAGGTCTCCCACACTGCAGGTGGATTCTTTACCTGCAATGCAAGAGATACCAGTTCAATCCTGGGTCGGGAAGATCTGCTGAAGAAGAGATAGGCTACCCACTCCAATATTCTTAGGTTTCCCTGGTGGCTCAGCTTGTGGAGAATCTGCCAGATTTTACAGAATATGTAAAAATA